TGCTTTGTTTCCAATACTGAATACATTAGGTAAAAATTTTAGGGTTCTCATTTGTTTTATGCATATTTAGGCATATTTAACTGTAAGAAAATGCATTATCCTAATGTTAACTTCTTTTTCTTTTTCTTTTTTTTGGCGGAACCAAGGATTGAACTCAGGCCCTTGTACTTGCCAGGCAAGTGCTTTTTCTACTGAGCCATCTCCCTGGCCTTCCTCATTGTTTTGCTTTGAGACAGGATTTTGCCATGCAGTTGAAGCTGGCCTTGAACTCATGACGTAGCCCAGGCAGATCTTGAATTTACATCAGTCCTCCTGACTCAGCTTCCAGAAGGTTAGGATGACAGCCATGTGCCACCACACCCAGCTCCTATTGTTGACTTCTCAAGCATAGTACATTTGTATAAAACACTGAAACTTTCTCAATAAAAAAGATGTCTTTTTGTAGATCTACCTTTGATAAGGAAAATTTCTTGAGATCACCAATGATTATACGTATGTGACTGCACCTAACTATACCTGAAAGTGTGTGCTTACAAAAATGGGCGTGCTGGCGGGGGACCAGGGGCCACAGAGAGGACGCCTGGGCTGGCCGGTGCACCTGAAAGCCCTCCTTAGGAGAAGCAGCCCACGCCATGGAGTGGGAGCTTTGGCCGCACACCTCTACCAGGGTGACAGTGAGGGGGGAGCAGGAGCCCAGCGCACGATCCACTGGGGTGCTGGGGACAGGAAAGACCTGTCCTTGGCCCTCGAGCCTCCGTGTGCCTGCCGCAGGAAGTCCTCGCGTGTGTGGCTGGAGCCAAAAGGCCCAAAGTTGTATCACTTGGACCTCTCCAGTTCTTGCACTGGCCCATGCGTTTCAAACCTGGGAAAAACAGCCAGAGTTGGGGTCACGGCCACCTGCTAACGCCATAACACTGACTTCCTGGACCCATGCGACACCATGAGGGACCTGGAGAATTCAGGGTGGCGAAGGTCCCTGAGGTATCAAACTTTAACCATGAGCAGCCTGCGAAGCTTCCTCATAAATGTAATGTAAAGGTCAAGCCAGTAGCTAACCAGATAGCACTTCCCTGTAACTTTCTCACAAGAGACGGACCAGTTCCTGCTGAGCCAGAGCCAGGTCCGTGGCTGCTTCCCGGCCTCTCCCTGGTCCAAGGAAGGGGATGAGCTTCATGGATGACTCGTGATTTTGAGGATCACACAGAAGTGTGACCGGTCTCCTGCTCAAATTTTGACCCCATGTTAGAACCAGAAGTGTCACAGTCACTGTTCAGGGGACCCACACAGTGCAATATAATTTCTATGTCAGTCCCTGTGGCCTCTACTTTAAAAAAAAAAAAAGATATTGATTTATAGAAAAAATGTATGCTATTATTGACTATTTTATTACTTGCCCCTCTTTATTTATTTTTTTTTTTTTTATTTTGAGACAGTGTTTTGCTATGCAGTTCAGGCTGACCTGGAGCTCACTTTGTAGCCCAAATTGGTCTCAAACACACGATGATCTTTCTGCCTCAGCTTTCCCAAAGCTGAGATTATCGATGGGTACCACCACGCCTGGCTCTTATTGCCTATTTTATTGTGCAGAGTGATCTAGAAAAAAGAAGAAGAAGAAGGAAGAGGAGGAGGAGGAGGAGGAGGA